TGGAACCGCTTGTCCGACGGCGGGAAGGCGGGCGGCTTGGCAGGCGCCAGTGATGCTCCTCTGCCCGGGCCCCTCCGACGTTCACCTGGCGCCACCGAGAAAGCAGATGGGAAGAGGGCGCCCCCCCCCCCCCGATCACGCTTGGAACCGCTTGTCCGACGGCGGGAAGGCGGGCGGCTTGGCAGGCGCCAGTGATGCTCCTCTGCCCGGGCCCCTCCGACGTTCACCTGGCGCCACCGAGAAAGCAGAAAGCGGGCCCTCCCCCTGGAGGCACCGTGGGTGGGTGCGCCATGGCCCTTCTTTGCCCGGGTGCCGAAGCCCAGCGCTCCCCGCCGCCTCCCCCCCCCGGACCCGGGTGTGACCCCGACTCCTTCTCGCCCTGCTCCCAGACCTTGTGCGGCGCTGCGCAGACGAGGGAGGATTTGATGCCGCCACCCTGGACGAGACGGGGACCATGCTGTTCTTCAGAGGTAATGGCAGGGAGGGAGGACGGCAGGGAGGGAGGGGCCGCTCCCACTCTGATCCCCCCACCACCCCCGCGCCCCCAGTGCCGCCGTCCCTCCCATCTGTCCTTCCTTCGGTGGCTGAGCAGTGCGGGAAGCCTCGGCCAAGGCTGCTGGGGGGTGGCGTTTGGGCCCAGGGCCCACGAGGCTCTTCCCCCCACCAGGAAGGCCCCTGGAACGCCACCGGACGCCTCCCTTGTCACCGGGGCAGAGGAGGAGGGGGCGGCGGTGGCTCAGGGGGGGCAGGTCTCCCCGGGCACTGGGCACCTCCTCCTCCTCATGCTCCCCCCCCCCGCTCTTTCCCAAGGGGACCGTGTCTGGAAAGGGTTCCACAGCCCCGCCCAGCCCATCAGCGCTTCCTGGCCTCACGTCCAGGGCCCGGTCGACGCTGCCCTGCGGATCCACCACCTGGAACACCCGGAGAGTCATGACAACGTCTACCTCTTCCAGGTCCGTCCGTGGGCCTCTGTGTGGCCCTCCTCTTCTCCTCAGCCGTGTGGGGAGGGTGGGCTTCTCCCCTCCTCTGCCTTGGGGTGGGTAGGAGACCCTCCCTCCCCAGTCGGCCTGTAGCTGTCAGCAGCAGCAGCCATGTCCGGAGCCGGGCGTGGGCCTGGCTTCC